GATTATTTCCTGCTTTGATGAAGCCCCTCCCTCAGAATGAGGCGATGGGCTCTGATTGGTCAGCTGGCCTAGTGTGCCGTGATTGGCTAAACCGCCTCTAGTGCTCGTCTAATCGTCCCGCCCCTCAATTTGAGCCTGACTGAGACGCAGAGGATATTAGTGAAGAGGATCGTGCAGCAAGCACACGGCATATTATTATTATTATTATTAACACAGTTTATTGGAGCTGAAGAGCTGATGATCTGAATGAGAGAGAGAGATGCTGCTTTAGAACATTGATTTTGAAACTTGTGAATCCATTGCACTGAAAAAAATTATTAAAAATTGTTTTTAAGGTAAGTGGTTGCAAACTATTTATTTTAGATACATTTAATTAAAAAATGTTGAAAGTTAGTCAACTAAATTTGTTTATTTAAATGTAGCTAAAATAAATTGATTGCAACCACTTACCTTAAAAAAATTTAGTAAATTCAATTAATCATTTTTTTCAGTGTAGAATCGTTAGAAGACAGAAACGCGATTCATATATGAATAGATGTTTTCGTGCAGCCCTAGTTTTGTCGGCATGGCAACAATTCTTCCTCTTCTCAAAAGCTGCGCAATGTGGCCACGCCCCCTTTGTTGCATGTTCCCGGGGGCGGGGTTTATCATGCCGTGGAAGCGCACGACCGAGTCGTCCACGGCGAGCAGCACCTCGATGCTGTAGTCGTCTTTCTTGGCGTGTCTGCGTTTGCGCTCCGTCTCTGACAGTTTCTCCTCCAGCACATTGAGAGCGTTGGGCAGCTCGGCGATACCAAAGTCTGTGACTGAAAACACCAGAGATTTACTGCAATGCAAACAATGGGTTTCTGCTGTAGTAATGCATGAAAAAACTACTGTATGCAACAAATGAGACACATTCACAGCCGCATGTTTCCCCAAAATATGAGTCCTGACTACAGAAAAGTTAGTCAACAGAAACAAATAGAAATAGGTCTGCTCTTAAGTGTTAGTAAACGTTAATTATATAACATGGATTTCTGCTTTATTTCAGGAGCGTTACCCGTTGACTGTGAGGGTTTGTCATCTGGCGTCTCCACAGACAAAAGAGTGAAGCATTCCAGATCACAAGGCACATTATTCATAATGAATGTAGACATGAAACATTAAATGTTGTTTCAAAGTGTAAAAGAGCATGAATTTTGCATTTCAGAACAAGGGAAGTGCGCACAAGCAGAAGAAACTGCTGGTCAGTTTAAAGTTTCTATCATTGATTTGCTTTGGCTTTAAGGCGAGACACTGCAGGTGAACAGGGTAAAAAAAATTAACTACTAATTATCACCTTACTTACCCAGCTGATTGATTACATTGATAATTGCAAAAATTTTTGTATTACAAGTTTTCTAAAATGTTATGTTTAAGTATGCAAATGAGGCATTATTTAATGAAATATGCGCTAATTTGCATATATTTCTAGTACAAAAATCTGAACACTGGATGAAGTCGGTTTCAAAATTCTTGTTTATTTTTTTTGACATATTAGAGTCAAATGTTTTTACAGAGGGAATTTTGGGTATCTCTTTTTGTCACATAATTCAAAAAATACTTTGAACAGCCAGAAAACAATATATTTTCACAATTTTGGGGGGATAAATTGGGGGAATTTTTTTATTTTTATTTATTTTATTTATTTATTTACTGAGATGTATGGCTCGGTGTAGGAGAAAAAACTCATTTTGAGAAAACGGCCTTTAAAAACATGTATTGTAATAGAAATCTATTGACACAAATAGATAAAGTGCTATTAAAGAAACACTTAACAGTGTCTTCTGGATGTTTTCTTTCCACTAGTCTGATAAAACACTTTATGAAAAGCCAAAAAGCCAAAAAGCCCAAAATCTCAAAACTGACAGGTGCATGAAAAAAACAGTGCTTTTGCCTGCAGTGTCTCCCCTTAAAAATATTTAAAATTGATTTGATTATTTTACCCAATATTTTTGTGCACCAGTGTTAATTTAGTGTAACAGAGCTACTATTATAGTTTTTATTAATATTTTGAATTTGTTTTTATTTTCATGTTTTTCATTTTTGTCAAAGTTTAAGTTATATAATTGTGTTTTTGCCATTTTTATTATTTTTTATATATATGTCAATATGGTTTTTTAAATTAATTTTATTTCGGTTTTAGTTTTAGTTATTTTAGTCAATCAAGTTAAATCTTATTTTAGTTCCACTGAGATAATATTATAGTTTTTATTAATATATTTGTATCAGTTTTTATTTTTATAATTTCCATTTTCATTTCAATTTTAGTTATAAAGTACATCAAGTTAAACTCCTTTTTATTTTAGTACACTATTTTTATTATTATTATTTTAGTTTTAGTTTAGTTAATAGAAAGTTCAAAAGAACAGCATTTGTTTGAAATGGAGATCTTTTGTAACATTAGAAAAGTCTTTAATGTCACTTTTGATCAATTCAGTGCATCCGTGCATTGGTGTAAAGTATAAATCTCTTAAAAAAAAAAAATTTGACAGACCCCAGACTTTTAAAAGGTTGTGTATACAGTATATTAAAATACTATGGTATTTGCATCACTGTACCATGGTATCAAACAAACTTACTAAACATAACCAGGCATGCGGTTCACGATCTGTCAGGCCAGTGAAAGATCTTTTGATTTTCTCTATTGGCTTCACAGAGTTTTTGGACCGGACGTAACCTGTGAAAGCAGATGCTCTGCAGAAGTGGAACAGAATTTACGGCACCATCGAGATGCTTTTACAGTAAAAGTGATTCCATGACAGCTTCCAAAGTTCCTGCTTCAGCAGCTTTTGAGTTCAGCGCTTCAATAATGTGCATTTAAATTCACAGAGAGGCTCTCAGACCAGGGCTGGATTGGTAATCGGGCATACCGGGCATTTTCCCGGTGGGCCGACGGGCCTAAAACCATCACGCAGGGACAGCGAGCAGCCAGTGGCCCATTGGTTTGTCTCCTGTATTGACAGCGTGAACATCCAATCACAATGCGCTATACAGACGGAGCGATGAAGTATTTTGCTCCGCCTATATAAAGATACCAAAAAATGCCAGGGCCGATTTTTTGTCCCAGTCCAGCCCTGTCTCAGAGCCTTCACTTTATTCACAGAGCAATAAATCTGAATCTGCTGCGCACAGGCTTGCTTGATTTCAATTTCGTATGTCAGGAAAGATGTCAGAATGTGACACAGACTGATGAAATGCCCACAGTTCAGAGTCTAAGCTAAGATGTATATCATACACGGTGAAAAAAATGGTTATTGATGTATAGGTCAGAACAAACAGTCACATCTTTCATGCAGTAACTCTCAGATACGTCTAAGTCATATTTAATCGTTAAGCCAAACGATTAAGTTAGGTTAAATGGAAATCACGATATGGAAAATTTAATTGAGAAGTATTTTAAGTACTTTATATATCTTATTTTATATTTTAAAATTATTATAATATTATACAATTTTATAATATTTAAGTATATTTTTAAAAAGCAAAATATTAAGTATTATAATTTTACAATTGTACTGTAAAATAAAATTATTATTGTTCATTATTGTTCTTAAAGACTAATTTTTTATTCCAATTTAGTAATAATAGTAAAATTAATAGCAAGTAACAAAATTAATAAAAAGGTAATATAATTTTTCTATTTTTTATTATAATACTTTTTTTTTACATTTCTTATTCTAATTTACTAACAATAATAGTAAAAGTAATAGTAATTTTTTTAATATTAATAATTACTAATATATAATTAATAATTTATTATTGTTCTTAAATACTTTTATTTTATTTAGTAATAGTTCTTATACTGATTTTTATTTATTATTTATAATAATACATTTAATTTTTATTTATTTGTTATTTATCTCATTATATTATATTATTTATTTTTATTTATTCATTTATTATTACTATTACTTTTATTATTAAGTCACATTGCTGTATTATAATTAACATTTTTGTCCAAATTGTGCAGCCCTAAAAACACAGAAAACCTGGAGCTTTATAAAAATCATAATCACAATTTTAATATTTAATTTTTAAAAAATGATAATAAAAATAAAAAAATAAATTGCAATTCGATTTTTCGTAACCTTTGCTTTACCTTCATTGTGGAGGTCATCTCGCCTCTGATCCTTGTCCCTTTTGATGGCCGACCTTCGGTAGACCACATGGACGCGACCTTTGACCTCCACCTCCTGCTGGCCTTTCTGCAGCGGCTCGATGAAGAACTCTTCATCATCAGTGCGAATCAAGCCTGCCTGAAACCACACAGAGATCCATCAGACAAACACGGACGATCAGAAACAAAGCATGTTAAATCATGAGCATTAGCTTTGACATTGTTTAATCATCAAGAGCCATTAAGATTCAATGTCAGGAAGCAGGACAGTCTCAACTCAATTTATGAACGAGAGCAGGACAGAAATGATTACCGTCCCATCTGTCACTCTCTGAGGCTGCGGGATTGTTCAGCGAGGAAACGGAGGACAGGGAATGATGGGAAGGAAAAGCACTGGTGGTTGCAGAAGCGTCTGCTGTAACCATTGACTGATATTTGATTCGAACAGAGCTGTTAGACTGTTCTTCTACCGCACCACAAACCCCAATAACAACAGACACCGTTAAAGACTCCTTCACTTCAGAGAAACAACATCCAAACGGCTGTCGCTTTAATAAAAGCCCCGTCACATCAAATAAGCCAATATGACACTCTGGTTTCACAGTTTCTGACGAGAACATAAGCGCTGCTTGCCTGAGCAAATCACGACGAGGGTGTTCCGAGCGGTTGCTAGGGTGTTTAGGATGGTTGCTAGGGTGTTTAGGATGGTTGCTAGGGTGTTCTGGGTGGTTGTATCATAGATCTGCATCTTTAATCAAAATTGAAACTGAAATCGTGATATGGAAAAATTTAAATGAAGAAATTAAGATTAGTATTGTAATTGTAATGTATTGATATTGTACTGTAAAAATCATTACTATTATGAACAATAGTTTTTATTTTTAAATTTGAAACAGTTAAATATTAATATTAATATTAGTATTTCTTATTTTATTTAAATTTCTTCTTTAGACACAGCCAGTTATGTCTTAAGGGATTAAACGGACAGGACAAACCATATTACTTGCGTGTGTGAATGCAGCTTAGATCTCCCGCTGTCTATGATTATTAGTAAAAAACAACAGTAAAGATGAAGAAAAATCACTCACAGTTCTTGAATTGAAAACGTTCAGATAATCGTAAATACTGAACGCACTCTTTGTTTGTTGTTTGTAATATGTTTCTATGCTCCTCTTTATTATTTGCTACTTGCTTGTATGTTTTGAAGTTATATTATTTTAAAATTCTTAACATACAAATGTTTTAATTATTTTTTTCAATTTGTAATTATTTTAAAAAGTACTTAATTACTTATGTAAGGATATGTAAATATAAGGATTTGAAGATTCTCAAGTTGGTAAACTAATTAATTAATAAGGGGGAAAAAGTAGATCAAGAATCGTTCTGGAATCGGATCGTGACTCCCAGAATCGGA